TAATCCCATATCAACAAGACCTGTCCAATTAAGAAAATAATTGGACAGTTACCTATATGGTATTAATGAGAAACTGTATAATTATAATAATAATAATAATAATAATAATAATAATAATAATAATAATGGAATTTATATAGCGCACATATCAAAATTCATGGCGCATCATAATAGAAATAAATAAATATCAAACGTATGTTACAATATTAATGAAATGCCATAGTTCATTGATTTTTATCCATTAATTCATCCATCCAATCTTTATTCTCATCCATCTCCTTCATCCATTAATGATCACTATTTCTTCTGATTCCAGGACGATTTCTTGAGCCTTGGAATGATTGAAGGCAGAGTTGTGTTGAGGGCAGACACTGGTATGGCTCCCAAGACCCTAGAAACTGACCTATCAAACTACAACGATGGCACTTGGCACCATGTGTTCGTTGTCAAGAGAGGAATTGAGTAAGAATGTTTTCATTATTGGTTTGTGGTTGAATTCAATACCTCCCTTCCATCATCTTATTCTCATTGATCACTTTTATATTCACGACCATCATCACTCGTTCATCACCATTACCAGAACTATCATCAACGATCATTTTTATTAGTAGTAGCATTCACCATCACCACCAATCAATATCATCGTCACTTTTATCTTCATCATCACTGGTCATTACTAACAATATTATCACCATCACCGTTCATTATTATTGTTGTAATCATTGATTTACGATCATATAAAACAACCAAGTCAACCCATGACCTAAGTTACCTTTACCTATTCTAGAATATCCCTAAATGTTGGATACGAGCACAAGAAAGCTGAATTCGATCTCATACATCAGTCGATTCAAACTGGAGGTAACCCACTCTATGTCGGTGGATTCCCCAAGGGCTACGATGATAGAAAGCAAAATGACTTCTTCTCTGGAATGAAACCTAACTTGGCTGGTACAACTCTACGAGACTTGGTCTTCATGGGAGAGTAAGTGTCCTGGCCATGTATATATGATGGTGTATCTATGAGGTTGTAGAGTTAAAGTTATAAAATGCTTCTCAGTCACACACACGGAATCGGACAGTTTTGCCGTCGCGAGGAAGTAGGTTTTGGTGGACGTCCATCAAGACGTTTTCACAACATTCCATAGGCACGCGCCCTTGACAGTTTTATGTTTTCCGGCAATGTCATGGAAACACTTTGGTTGACGTCCACCAAAACCTTATTTTGTCGCGATGGAAATTTTTACGATTTAGCGCGTGTGATTGAGAAGCCCTGTAAGGTTAAAGTATTAAGGTTAAAGTCGTTCTGTACATTTTTTTCTCGTGATTTCTTACATAGTACGCTCACTTATAATCTTTTGGTTGAAAAAACAACCTAATGTTACTCGTAATACTAGTCTGTAATGATGCAAACACGTTTTTCAAAAAAGTAATCAATTAGATGCTATCATTTCTTATTTGCAAAGCGTGTCTGCGTCATCAAAGACCTTTTCCAAAATGATCTTTGATACAATACTTATTCTGGTCCTTTTTCTTTCAGAATTAAAAGCTTTATTAATTACCGAAGGAAGATGAACGTTATTTTCGATGAAGAGGACTTCCCATTACCTCGCCCTAGAGACCTTATTATCCCTAAAGAACCGACCACGCCTCCTATAGATGACCCGACCGATAAGTCTACGACTACCGAACCGACCACAATGGAACCAACTACAGTGGAACCGACCACAATAGAACCGACCACGATGGAGCCGACAACAATGGAACCAACCACAATGGAGCCGACCACAATGGAACCGACCACCATGGAGCCAACCACAATGGAACCGACCACAATGGAACCAACCACAATGGAACCAACCACAATGGAACCAACCACAATGGAACCAACCACAATGGAACCAACCACAATGGAACCGACCACAATGGAACCGACCACAATGGAACCGACCACAATGGAACCGACCACAATGGAACCAACCACAATGGAACCGACCACTATGGAACCAACTACAATGGCCACCACACCTACTATAACAGCAGGATGTTTTTCTGGTCCCGCACTAGCCACGGATAACTCTATCATGAGTTTTAGTGACGATCCTAACAGCTTTGCTAAGTACGAAAAGGTTTCAAAGGACCCGGTTATGAAGAAAGTCGTAGGATCAAGGTTTGTCATGAATGGGTTTAAACTCCAGTAAAGGTGTTGCACCATCAMGTGCCAGCCGCCATGTGAGAATTAAATTCTTTCTCATGAAGAACGACTTTATTGCTCTTGACATCCAACATGGCTGCCGTCACGTGATCATACAACTTCAATCCACTTTTGTTTTCCCATTACCAACCACGCGTCATTCCATTGGGTATTATTTCTTTCTTTACCAGTACCGATTATAAGTCACATCGATAAGAGTGATGAAACTCAAGGGATATTGAAAATATTTTGAAATGGAACAAAACAATGGATATTATTTAACATAAGAAAAGAGCACTTATTATTTTGTCCTCCAGAACAATTCCTCTAAGAAATCAATGCAAGGAATGTATACCCAGCAGACAGGACATTGTTTTCGACCCATTAAAAACACGCTTTTGAAACTTGGAGCGTATTTCTTCGAGGCCATGATAACACAGGAAGCCCGATTCCATTAGGAAACTTCTCCTCCAACACCCCACCACTATAAATGTTAAATGAACGAAGGATCTTCAGTGATAACGGGGAGGGAGTTTATAGAATCTTGCAAAAAAAAAAGTTGATATCCAAATTTTGCAAATATTTTTGTTAAATTAGAATTTTATCTTATTTTATTTTATTCGCCCACTGTAGCTCTCTCTCATTGGCTTTTGGTGAAACGTTTTACCACTAAAGGCGCGATTACACATAGCAATTTTCTGTGCAACTTGTCTCGCAACGGCGTTGCGACACAAGTTGCAAGAATGTCTTCACGATGCAACGGAGACTCAATCCTTGCCAAAAGTAGAAACGAATTCTAGTTTAATTTTCGCAACGATTGCTGCAACTTGTTTCGCAACATTTTTCAAATTGTGCTGTAGGTTACACGCTGCAACGCTCCATGCAACTTGTGTTGCAACACCGTCGCTACACAAATTGCAGAGAAAATTGCCCCGTATAATCGCGCCTTAAAAGACTAACTCTTGTCCATGAATCTCTCTCAGGACCAAGATATCTCTGGAGTTCCGTGCCCTTGGTCAAGATGGTATCATATATTATGCAGGTAGTGGTGTGCGACAGGCAGACTTTCTTACTTGTTATCTACTGTCTGGTAAAGTCAAGTGCCAGTTCAGTGCTGGTAGTGGTATAGCGGTTCTTGTTTCGACCAAGACCTACAATGATATGAAATGGCATACTGTAAGTACTGTGTAATAATAATAATGATAACAATAATGATAATAATAATAATGATAATAATAATATTTTTATCATCATCTGTATTAGATATTTGCAAAAGGAGGGGGAGTGGTGGTGTTAAAGCCGAAAAGCCCCTCCCCATGTACGCGGTTCCTGTGAGACACGTGTCCTAACAATCCCCGTGTATGACTGCACACAGCACGCATGCGCGTTTTCTACAACGGTTTCTGGTTTTTCTTAAGAGAAGCGCCGGTAATGCGCCGCTATTCACCCGTCATTATGTATGAGTAGTGTTTTTGACGATTTATACCTGATCTGCAAGAGTTTTTCTCCAGGATTTAACGCTTCCTTCTTCCTCAAAATATTTATCTAAAAAATCCAATTCAACTTAGCTTCGAACGCTGCCATTAGAAGACTCTGACTCCTGAGACGCATGGTCACTTCCGGCCTGTATATTTATGTCGTATTTTATTTTATATTATTTGATTTTATTTTTTGAAGATTAATTCAATTGAACTTCTCGGTTTTTGCAGCTTCTTTTCACCCGCAAGTTAAAACAGGGAACCCTGAAGATTAATAACGAAAAGGTCGCGCAAGCTACAGCCACTGGGGGCTCCAGTATGGTAGATGGACTGTCAGACTTCTACCTAGGGGGAGTACCCAAGGGATATGACACTAAACGTATTCAGGTAAGCAAGAGAGAAGGCTGGGTGGACATAGATGAGCTCCGAGATTTTTAACATAACGAATTGGTCGGTTAACGCAGGTGGTCGCTTACGAGAGTGGTCGATGAAAGAGCCGAGTCAACTACATTATTCTTTGACCTTCCAAGATGGCGGAAAAACAAAACGGGAATTTTATGAGAGTGATCGCAAGGGAGATGGTCGCTTGTAAGAGTGGTTGTTTAAAGGGGCACCTGGATGAAAATCGATGAAAATTGGAAATGACTTTAAACTTGGGTAAACCTATGAATATGGCCCCAATAGTCGCCAAGCAACATATTTCTTGACAGTCAAAAGTGGGGTATGAAAATGATAAGTTTTATTCAGCATCTAAATTGTGAGTAAATGACGTCATTTACTCAACCCTATTGTTCTTTCTGCTTTTAACCCAAAATTTCTCAACTACAAGTGACTACCAGGCTAAAATTTTCACTAATCTTGTTTACATAATCATAATTGAGTCATATTATCTTCAAATACTTCAATTATTCGGACTTTCAAAAATTGGGGCGTTTTCATCCAAGTGCCCCTTTAAAGAGATCCATCTTGGACCTTCTAAGATGGCGAAAAATCAATTTATGTTCTTAGGAACCTTTTTATATGAATAGACTTTATATTTAGTTTTCCATACTCATATATGTTGTTCTTTACCAGGAGAGACAGGCCGCAGTCAGTTTCCCTGGTTGTATTCGTAATTTCGTGGTTTCATCCAAAGATCCTGGTGCTCCCGCTGATGTGCTCGGTGTCGTAGGTTGTGCCACCAATAATCTCGAATCTGGTTCGTTCTTTGATGGAGGATTCATTACACTAGGTAATGGCGGGCATCAATCATACCACCAGCTGATCTGAGAATAAATATTAGCCAATCAGAATCGAGAACATTTGCAAAGTTATGGATTCCAGGCCACGAAATGGAAGAAAAAAAACGTTGCTAATACACGCTTGGTAACAGTGACACAATGTGTTTTATATCTTTATTCCAATGGCAGGCATGTTTTTACTTTTCGCTCATCAATTTTCACAGGCTTCATGACACCACAATTTTGGGGTGACGTCATTTCTAAGTCACTATTTCAGATCAGCTAGATATAAAAACGATTATTATAATTATTTTAAGGCAGGGGGATTACATACTTTCTATCTCATAACAATGCTCCGGTATTGTCAGTATGATGTCAATTAGTCAAGTTTTTCGTACGTTTTTCATTCTTAGACCAGAGACAGCAAAACATCCATCCATACCCTGTAATATAGACAGCATAGTATGGGATCTTAGTTATATTCACAGTTTCTTATGTTTTCTATCCATACAATGCTAACGAACGTGGCGCGGAAAATCAGACTCAACATAATCACCTTCTATGTTTATTAGTTTTATAATGCAAAAAAATCAGAAAGAAAATCATTCGCGGTTCACGGTATGAAAAAAAAAACCTTTTAAAGAGCAGTGAAAATAACCACGCCCTTTAAGTTCGTTTCACGCCTTCAAGATACAAACTAGCTAGAATAGACAGAGTGCATATAATATACCCGTGAAAGACTTTGTGAGAAATTGCACAAATTTGCCCGAATTAGTAATTTCAGTAGATCTCAGTAGAACCGTAGACCTACAAAACCTTTAACTAATTTGTACAATTTTGTAAGTTAACAAAAGTTAACTAGTTATGGTATGCATAAGTTAATTAGTTATGGTAGCCACTCTACTGCATTTATACAGAATATTGACCAAGAAAATTCGTATTTCTACAGTTGAAACGTTCCGTGTTGGTTTAAAGAAGACACTAATGCTGGAGATTAAGCCACGAGTGGATACAGCTACTATCTTTTCTTCCATTAACAAAGGAGGGGATTTCTTGATCCTGGAGCTTGTGCAAGGAGACGTAAGTTGAGGGCTTCATTCTACATAATACAATCAGCATAATCATTTATACGTTTGCACGTTACGTCATTGCGGCCATGTTGGTGCCATTTAACAAAAGATTTCTCATTAGCATCCATTGTTAACGGCACCACAATGGCCGCCATGTTTTTGTCTTTTAACTCTCTTGGGAATGCTTGCAAACCATCAATAGACCGATACCAGCATACCAGCTTTGCTTTAGTGTCCACCAAAACAATGGGTAGTTTTCCCCAATGGAATACAGAATGTCAAAACTCGAAGTAATTAGATTTTTTAGTAGTTTTAGTATTTTTTTATTTACCTTACATGCGCAATACAATGCGATACAATGCGCGATGCTGTAGAATGCCTAAATCTTGCAGTGCTGGAACCTTTTAAGTACTGTCCAAGCAGCTGTTATGTCCTCCAAATTGAGCTGTGCACTTTCCGAAGTGCTTCAAGGGGTTTACTGCTATGCTTTTTACGAGGAAAAATGCAGTTGGAATTTTTTTCAATACTTTTTCTTAAAAAATTTGCAGTTGATTCTTCGAGTGGAAAACGGCAATGGTGCTTTCGAAGTGATCTACTCTCCTAGCGACAAGAAAGAGTTGTGCGATGGTCAGTGGCATCGCATTAGGATTGTCAAGGATAGGAACACAGCGTCCCTAGAAGTAGACAGCAATGGCCCGACTAAAGTCAAGGGAAAAGGATCTCTGAGCAACACCGATGTGAAAGACCCACTCTACGTAGGTGGAGTACCAGGTGAGAGTATTGTAATAAGTACACTTTGTTTCACAGGCTAATGAAAACCATTATATAGGGTCTTCTAACATTTTGGCACAACTTTTCAAAACACTTTTTCTGAAAACTTTTTTTCCCTTTGCAGATGGATTTACCCACAAGGCAATGAAAACAACTGCTCGTTTCAAGGGATGTATTCGAGGGTTCCTGGATGGTGACAAGGAGATTCCTCTCTCCCGTCCTGTTGAAAAATTTGGTGAACTCTTTGTCAGTGGCTGTCCTGCAGTGTAGTCTTAAAGGGTGGGACTGACATCATTAGATAAGTGATTTTTTCCAAACTAAAGCATGTTGTTTGACCAGACTCTAGAACTTCTTCATGTAAGGTAATCCAGAATTAGATTTATAACATTTAGTAATGAAAGTCCTAGCAGGGACCACGATATACTTGTTATTCTGGCATGCTTTACATGAAAAGAAATGCTAGTAAAATATAAAAATGTTAATCTTTACTTTAACGGTAGTCATTATTTTACGTTGTCAATAAAGGTTGAAGTTTTAGGCTCAAACTGTCTTTGTTGTGTCGAAATTAAAATCTACATTCTGTCTGCAGCTAACAGCAAATGATTAGTTCCAAAATCATGATATTCTGGGTCTGACAGATAGCATAATAGTAGTAGTATAATGATAACAAGAAAATATTTGTGTTAATTTTATTTAAATTCCTTTAAAATCAACAATGACTTAATCTACTTGTTTGTTTTTTTTACATTCCCACTCATAAACCAAACAGTACCGTTCTTTACCAACTTTTTTACAATCTAGTATATTTAAATTACATACATAGCAGATTTTATAGAAGTAGAAGCAGAAACATTGCTCCATAAGTTGTACTCTTACATAAGATTTGCAATATTTCTTGACCAGTACAAATTCTGCATTGCATGAAAATAGTTGAATAACTAAGTGCTTTAAATTAAATAACTTATAACCTGTAAATGTTCTTTTTGTATTTGAAATACTATAGTCTACTGCAGTTTAGTTTTGCTTTTGAATTATTTTTCTCCTCCACTTCATCCCCCTCTCCACAGAATGGGAATGACAAACCTCTTACACCCATGTTGTCTCAAAAAAGAACTATATGTAAACTACATACTCTCATCAGTTACCTTACCCATCAGAAATTACATTATCATCGATTCTACAATAAAAGGGTTTATGAATGTTGTGTACTAACAGCAATATAAGGAAAACAGTTTACTTGTATGTCAATCAGACCCAACTCCTTCCCCTTCATTAACTCTAACATTTGCTACCAACTTTTCCAACAAACTTCTTCTATTATCACTATAATCTTGTCAAAGCTTTAACATAATTTATATTGCATTGCTAATACACTTGCTTTAGGGAAACTGGACATGAGGAGTGTCTTGTGTTTAACTTGTAGTGTAAGGTGGTGGACTCTCCTTTGGGGTGTCCTTGACAGCATCTTCATAATTTGGCAACAAGCCCTGTGTCTAAAGAAACAAAGCAATAATCTATCAGACATCTTTGTCTTTAGGTCGATTTTAAAGATTTTTTCCCCAAATACTGTAAAGTTTCTTAAGTGTCTTGTTATATCTGGAACTCAAATGAGACAACAAACTCTACTCATATGTGGCCCTAAAGGTGCAAGGCAAGTGCAATACTGCTGTCCCACCTTTAATTGATCCCTTCTGTTACTAGCTTCTATCATGTACATGCACCCATCAATATTGTTCCCTCCCTTGCCACAAGAGGTTAAATGATTTGAACCCAGGTACGACAAATTAATTGTAGTGGTAATGATATATGATATATGCATCATATATACTTGAACATAAGCCTCTGGCTAGGGAGACTCAGCAACGACTCCCTGTATCATGACATAAAAAATTAATAGAAGATTTCTATTCAAATGATTTTGATCATTTCTTCATGTATCGCACTAGTTTACCTCAGTATCACTGCCATCCACTTCAAACATGAAGGTCTGTGTAGCCCGTTTGATGCGATAGTTTACTAGCACCTTGTAGCATGACCACACACAACAGATCAGATATCCCTGTAGGCAAAAAATCACTGAGAATTAAAAAACGTTTGGCCAATACAACAGGATAAAATTCCAAGGAATGCTACATCCTCTAACGTGCAGACTGTTATGTCAGGATGACATAGGGGGTTCCATGTGGCTCATGTTTAGGGCTAGAATAAGTGAGCGTAACACATGAATACAGCAAAAAGTAGATTGTGATTTGTTTACTTCGAGTAAAAATTGTTTTCTTGGAATCTGTGTGATTCTTCCATGAGTTATTTGATTTCATTTGTTATTGCGACCCAAAATTACGCGACGTGAAGTTTAAAAATACTGGTGTATGAAACATGATGCCACACCCACCCCACTTTGTCATATAGATGAATTGTCATGTACTGTACATGTATGTGCAAATAGATGCAAAGACAAGAAGTCCAGCACGATGACATTGTTTATTAAAACACTGTACCAACCTTAATCAGGAGGATGATCAGGCAAAGCAGGATAACAGTCATCATAAGGGATCTCATGTCTACCTTGTCAACATCATCTGCATATGGGAAGTTTTGCTGCAAAAAAAAAAAAGGTAAAATAATTATCATTTTATCTGCCTGTACATGATCATCTTTTGTTAGGAGCAAGTATCACTGACATTCCAGTTAGTTATTCAGTGACTGAGACTTCATCAGGGGTGCATCCAGGGGTAGTAAAAGGGGTGACTAGTATCGCATGGCTGGTAAAACCTTGGTAATAGTCACCTTCAAAGATTCCCGGATCTGCCACTGCTCATATGTTTGGTCTCATTTTCTTTCTAGTAATGTGATTGGGGATTACTGAGTACATGACAGAGAGAAGGAGAAGTGGACGAAATCTTTATAATAGAAAGGGTAAATGGGCTACTTACATTGTTCTTTAACATAAGCTTGAGTTCTGGAATGTAACTCACAGCACCAATAGCACCCAGTAGGTTAACACAGAAATCAAAGACTTGTAGACAGAAAAATGGTAGAAGGTAACTCGGCTGGCGCTGTAGAAACATGCAAACAAGTATATTCAATATACGAGGGTTCAGGGTTTTTATTACGTTTTGAAATAGTAGAAGGTCATGATGGAGAGTCCTGGCAGGGGTTTATTAAGTTTTGAAATAATACGAGAAGGTCATGGTAGTTTAAGCTGGAGAAGTTCACTCACTTACCAGAGCATTCTCTGATCTCTGACCCCAATGAAAACCCAGAGGGCTATTAATAAAGCATTGCTCAATATGACTATGGAGATTCCTATTTCTATTAAGCTTTTACATGTAGCTGTTATATCACAAAATAACAATAACTCTCAAACTACACTGTAGGTAAAAGCCCAAAGATCAAATTGGAATTTAGAAGTTGATTCATTAAGAAGGAAAGAAAACCAGAGAACCTGGAGAAAAACCCTTGAAGCACAGGAGAGGACTAACAAGCAACTCTACTCACATACGATACCGAGACTGCTAGGACTTGAACTCGGGTTGCATTGGTGAGAGGCTGCGCATTAGCAGCACAAGCCACCTGTGTTTCCCTATAAAGGTGTTTGTGTCAGGTATTTTTTAATTACAATTCTTGTTTTTATTTAGCTAAGATGTATCATTACTTACTGTTATAGCACCATAGATGAGGAGACTTGTAATAACAAATGAACAGAAGGCAATTGCCAGGGCTACTGAATTATCAGCTGGGAAAAAAAATCAAAATAAACAAAATTATAGCAAGCAATAGTGGTATAACAAAAATTTTTATGTACCCTGTTGTTTCCCTTTTTTAAAAAAATTCAAATTCCTTTTAATTTTTTTGTGAGTAAAAATAGCTCAATATTGTTTGCCACTATTTCAAGCTTTCTCAGATTTCCAAACTGCTTTTAGTATGTTCTTAAAGTTATAATCATTCATATTATTATAATATAAAGAGATGTTTTCTTACAGGATCTCGGCACAGTTCCATATGTCTGGATGTATTTTTCTTCATACATTTCAGGATGAAGCAACATCTGTGATAATACTACGACTCCAGCTATGTGGACGAGCTGCAACAAGATAATTATTGGAAAAAACATTATAAGATTATCATATCGCTGTCTTTTACAGAAGAGTTGGATCTGAAAGAGCAGGTTTTTTCCAAGAATAAAATCAATTTGGGGAATTTTTTGCTTAGTTCAAGTTGACATAAGGGAGTTTCTTTTATCGAGCTAAGACTAAGCACCCAACCTTATCCATAGCAGTCACTATAAATCAAATGAATTTATTAGATCAGGTGATCAATCCCTACATTATTATCGATTATTTATTATCATTGATCTTTACTGGTTATTGGTTTCAATCAACTACTCTCAATTTAAACTTAGCAGGAACAACGTATGCCCCTCCCCACCAACCCACACTTTTATGAAAATGGTATATTATTGTCTTAGAGTTCTGTTAATAGAAAAACAGATATTAGCCCCCCTAACCCCACTTTAAAATAGTGCTCCAACGCCATCCTTAACTATCTAATAACTGGGTATTTTAAGGCTTTATGTTAGGAGTATTTATAATAAATTTGAAGTGGAGATGTGGCATGGCTGTCGCCTCTGCTATTTCAGTCTTGTGATTGTCTCGAGAAAAGTTACAACATGAAAAATAACATTGTTTCAGCATCTTATCTTACTTCCTACTAAACCAACTCATTTTCGTATTTTCCACGATTGTGCTAAATCCAGACAAACATAAGAGGATATATAGAGGATATTACATGGGCGCGCGGAGATACGAAATTTATCTTCGAGTGTTGAAAAGATCTCTCACAATGAAGTATGTTTTAGCTTTTTCAGGCAATTCTTTCCGTGTATTTTYGAATAGCCATCACAATGGTGTTATCTTCACACGTGAAAATAACATGTTATTTTCACGTGTGAAGATATCAATTTTTCGAAATAGAGAAAAATAGATATTTCATTGGTAATTATATAATAAAGCAAAATATTATACGGAGCCCAAATATCTCGAATAAAAAATTTAGAAGAGCTACGACTTTTGTTTTGTTTTGCTGGACCTTTTGTTTAGACTAATTCTCCGAAAGTCTGTAGAAAGGGAATGATTAAATTCCACCAAAAAAAGGATTTTTTGACATTTAATATTGCAGTGTTATGGCTTGTTAAAAAGCCTTTTTTATTGCCGAAAAACAAGAAAATACAAAAAAAGGAAAAATACGAAGTTACGAAGTCACAAAAGTTCGCGACATTTAACTCACCAAATGACAAAAACCAAGGACAATAGTTCCAATACGAACATCCATACAACAACAGCAAGTCTTCATGATACTTCCATCATCGTCTAGATCGGTAGAAGTTCTTCTGGGCTTCATTGTGAAAGTCTTTTCTCRAAGGACGTTTTCTTTACGAAAAAAACAAAATGTCCTCCAATATTTGCCTTTCGTTTTCTAAACATGAAGGGCATCACGGGAACAGTGATGTCATTGTATAAACACCCATGCCACTTCCGAGTAGTTCCGAGTACTTGGCGAACGCATTGACGATATCAGCATTGAATGTCAACTTTTATTATTTTGCAAAAATTCAAGCTAATCCCTTCAGAATGTAAATTCATTCGATAATTGGGAATCCCTGAAAATTACAGATTACTGCTAGTTATATTTTATGCATAATGAAACTATATAAAGTAGTAATATTTTATCTGCACTATATACTCGTCGATAGATCGGGATCAGTCGGGACGTTGGACTGTACCGTCGATGACCGTCGATACTAAATTCGGAAAGATATCGGGCATATCGGGTTGTTTGAGCTTTTCTGATGGTTGTCTCCACAGAGATATTGGCCAAAAAACAAAGATTACCAGTTGCACGAAACACACACAAAAAAAATGACAGAGAGGCCGTTTAGCGTGGCTTTTCTTTTTGGAGCATCCCTAATAGCGGTGTGCTATTATGTTGGCTTTGTTCGTCTTCCAGAGTGGACATTACTCAACATTTCCCTTCATGTTTTGGGTGTCCTTGTATGCATTGTTAACTATGTTAATGAATACCTTGGTTTTAATCAACTGAGCTATAGGTTAGTAGCCACTTAACTACGGATGGAAAATTAGGGTGTTCTCTAATGTACTGCCATTTAACTTCAGAGACGCATTTTAGAAGGGGGGTGACTATTATTAGAATTTTTACAAGGGTTTGGCTGGAGTGCGAGAAAAAGGGGGTTGGTTGTTACTAACGATATTATGAGAAATGTGAGCAAAGGAACATTTCCAAATGAGCTTTGCAAATGAGTGACTTTCAAATTAAAAGTTCTAAGACTTGGCCAATTTTCTACCTATCCCCCACCTTCCCTTTGTTTCAAAATACGAGAAGATGAAAATAGACCTGTTTAGGGAAGCAAAGGAGGCTTAGTGGTGAGAGCCTCTTATTAAGTGTGACCTGGCTTTGAGTCCTTCTGGGCTTGGTGTTGTTGTTAGTAGAGTTTCTGGTTGTTTTTCACCTGTTTTCTGAGTTCTCCGGTTTTCCTCCCTCCTCAAAAATCATCTTCTAAATTTCAATTTGAACATGGAACGAGGTTTGTTAGCCACTAGCTATTAAGTGTTACTCTCATAAAAATAAGGCAGTTTTTTKGGGGGGCATGTAATGTTTTCCCATTTCATGCTGTGTCATTCCCTTGAGTATCATTTCTTTCTTTGATGGTTGCACATGAGAAGACACATCACATGAATATTGATTCGTCTCAAACAAAGATTCTTATCCTCAAGAGAATAACACTTGGTCTGTGATGGGAAAACATTGTGCACAAGGTAAAGATGTCTGTTGTATCAATAATTGAGGAAATTATTATATTTCATGCATTTTAGCAAATTTTCCAAACAAGTTGGGAGTTTAAATGCTCGTCTTGGATGGACAATAACATATGCTATGCCTGCAGTAACCTACGACATACTCTGGTTCATCTATGGTAAACCCTCAAGTCCTTTTCATTTCATTGCTCTTGGAACTTATAATGCACACTTCATCAAACGTATTCTAGAATGCTTGTTTGTCCATAAGTATTCCAGAAATATTGAAGTGATGTCTGTCATTCAGGTAATTTAAAAAGTATGATTATTTTCTTTAGCACCATTTATTGTTTACTGTTATATTTAGCACTGGCCATACTATCTGGTTATTAGCTGAGCAGAGCCAATGTAAAAAGGCTCCCTAGCCCCTTCCCATAGGGATATTAGACTCATCATTAATTCTTCCTGGGCCAAATTAAACAATACACACAGTACTAACAAAGGTATACACAGCCAGATAACTAAAGGCAAATAAACTGACTGTTCTGTGGGAAGCATGGGTTGTATACATGTAGCTATTAGAGTGGTTGCTGGCTAACCAGTGCAACCTGGGTTCGATCACTGGACTGGGTGTCATACAGTAGTAGAGTTACTAGTTGGTTCCCTCTTGCACTTCAAGAGTTTTTCTCTGGCTTCTTGGGTTTTCCTCCCTCTGATAAAATCAACTTCTAAATTCCAATTCGATCACGGAATGAGGGCTTCAGCTTTGTTAACCACTGGCTATTAAGTGCTACCCCAATAAATCAAGGACCAATCATTTTAATATATATTTATTAGTCTTAGTTATTTTCTCTTTAGATTGGTGCATTTTACACACTTGGAGCATCAGTACAACATTACTGGTGTAATGTATACACAAGCGCAAATGATGGAAACCGGCTAATGAATAACAAAATCCTTTTGATTGTTGGGTTCGTTGCTTTTATTGGCGGAGAATTCATAAACTTCTACCACCATGCTTTGTTGGCAAGCCTACGACCAAAGGGATCAGCACCAGGCAATTATGTTGTACCATCTGGTGGTCTTTTTGATTTGCTTGTTTGTCCACATTACTTTGGGTAAGAAATATCTATGATATTAATACTATGATATTAATATTATGAGATAACTGTCGTAAATCTTTATGATTTATAATAGCATATTAATTTATAGTGCACAAATAACAATCAAAATTTTTTCAAATATGCAAAATTTTCAAATGCATATTCTGTTTGGTCAATGGTGCATGCTTTATGAGAACACACTGGACATGTGCAAGGATATGCACCAAAATTAGTGCAACAACTACAGTGCAACCACATTTATTATATTCTATGAACAGTGGTTTTGCTGCCAAACAAGCTTTTACCTGCCTTTTTTTGATGAAACCATGCCTTTATGACTGCACACAGCATGAGCACGAGTTTTTTATTTCTTCATTGTCATACTTTTGTGTAAAAAATTATACTTTTCTAATAATTTTCCATTTTGATTTAAATTTCTTTCTTTTCTTGCTAGGGAAATCATTGGATGGTTTGGTATGGCAATTTTAGGTCAACATTCCTGCCTTTACCTATCATGGTTATCTATGGTCGCATACCTGGCAGGCCGCAGTCACCAGACCAGGGAGTGGTACCTTAATAAGTTGGATCACTTCCCTAGAGAACGCAAAAATCTCTTCCCTTACATTTACTGAAAGATCTCAAGAAAAAGCATAGCATACCTCATAGAAATGATTATGAATGATTTGTATTTGTGTTGATTTTATTTTTATTTTGTGTTTGTCTGTTTTGGAAATGACATTAATCAGATTAAAAAAATATTATAAGATTTTAATTTCGCATCTTACTTTTAGATTATTCCATCTCAGTAAAAGATCTAGCAATCTGATGATGGTGATTTTGAGCATTTTTGTCATTTTAGCAGGTTACAGGGTTCATGCTACTCCTTAACTCCTCGAAGACTCCTTGAATTCAATTCGCGTTTTCAAGGGCACTTGAAAAACTCTTGAATTTTATGATGTTAGTGAAACTCCTTGAAAACTCCTTGAATTTTTGCTTCAATCATTACTTGCATGGTTCTGAAATAGATGTAGTCAGAAAGATCGGAAAATCTGAAAGTTGGCCATGTGCAACCACGGTGTAAAACCTTGGCATACATGTAGTTAGCTGAACATACTCCTTGAAAATTCATTTTTGGGTCCTTGTATACTCCTTGAATTTTAAGTGGTTACCTCAGCACAAACCCTGAGGTTAATAATCACAGATCACAGATAAACATCCACTTAACATCTCCCTTGATTCATGAATTTTTCTCCAGGGTTTTCAGTTTTCGTCCCTCTGCAAAACCTAACACACAAAATTTCAAAACAGGTAGACCTTTTTCGAGTTCCAAATTACCATTGTTTTCCTTGATTACAGGCTTATTTACTCAGGGTTAGCCTTATACCAGTCACAATATTAACAAATACTAATGGTAAAAAATGCAATACAAACACTCTGAAATTCCACTGACCTTCACTGGAACAGGAGTATTCTGCACAAAGTCATACCATATTTTGATCAGCCCAGAGATTGTTTTCAAGATATAACAGGGTTTGCTGAGGGAGAAAAGCCTGCAGATAACTAAACTTGGCATCACATGTGAGTAGAGTTTGTTGGGTCTCTCCCTTAAATTGAGTTTTTTTTCTGTGGTTTTCTCAATCAGCAATGTTTGCATAGATCATTTGCATAAATGACATATAAATTTTATTAGCACCACAACCAAAATGACGGGGTAGTRCAATATGACATTTTAGTCTTTGCTATATCAAAGTTATTCCATTACAAATTTTAACCTTTTTATAATTGTTTTTATTTAATTCTTTGCATGTTGCACAAGTCTCTGGCAACATACAAGGTCAACACTGTACATGAAAAGTTACTAACTAATATAACTTTAACAAATATAAATATAACTAAAAAGAGGACAATTGGTTATGCATTATGCTTTCCCATTTCGGACCATGCCATGTGCCATTCCATTAACAAATACTGTATCTTTGTTGAATAACTCGTTCTATGATGATATGCAAAGGAGTGGAATAACACGATCAAAATATAGAAAGATATCATAAATTGTCTAAACCACTTATAGATCTATTTTTTTGGGCACAAGTAATGTTTTCTCATTTCAGACCATGTATATATTATTCTTCCAAGTTTTACTCACTGGTTCACAAAGGAATATTACTCAAGGGAATTGTAAGATATAAAATGGAAAACATCCTAGGTCTTTGCACCTCTTCAGCTTGGGGTATAGACCTGTAGTGTGACCATAATGTTGTTTTTTTTTTTCATTTAAGACTTCATCAATCCCTTGAAAATAATGTTTTGTTTGAGTTGTGTTCATATTCATGTGTCTATTTTAAACAAAGAAATGATACTCTAGGGAATAACATATGGTCTGAAATGAGGAAACTCATACAGTAGTAATAATCTATCATATGACAACTTATAAGACTGTAAATACTAATAGCCATTAATCAGAAACTTGCTTTTCTTTTAATAAATACATGGAATGTCATTAATATCAGAGTGCATGAAGAGAATGCATGTCACAAACAAAAATATTTTCATCCATTGCCAGCCTTATTCAACGTGATTATTGACCGTAAAGCTAGTCACTTGGTGAAAACAAAATTTTAACCAATACTCCATTTTACAGTTCTGTTTGAGTGACCATGAATAATAGTTGCAAATCGAGGCTGCAGTTTCCGCACATAGCAAAACTATACTTTTTATCATGCGCGAAAACTCCAGCCTCGGCTTGGAACGGAACTGTAAAATGGAGTATTGGTAAGCTTATGATAATTACATTGTATAAAAAAAATTACCTTATAACATATGGTAGGAGAACTTTGAATTAATATATACTTTCTCTTTAGTAAATGATGCTCTTATATTTAATTTTAAATTACAATTTCAATTGATAGTTTTTGCTATTTCTATCTGAAGAATGATTAAGATGCAGAATTATAAGATTATATATTTATAATATATTATTTCCCTATTTTGTTCTGGTTCATTTTTTTTTCTTTATCTCTGGCAGTTTGTCATGTTTCTCTGGTTTCCTTTCTGCAAACCTAGACAGCTCCAGGAATAGCATGTCAAATATGCAAGCTGTAGAAGCAATTTTTGGTTTAAAGAAATTATCCTGCTTGTAGGCCTTCGCATGAAATAACTTATTGACACCTGTACTAAACAAAAAATTTTTTCAAGGTCTTATATTTATCAACTTCCCCTTGATCATGCTGCTTTGATGAACGTCCAGCTGTTAAACTTGGATTAATACTCTCAACTGTCCTTTTTCCAGCTTCCAAGGAACATAAACAAAATACTGAAGAATATGAGTGTAAAAAATGGCTGTCTTTCAAAGGCTGTCCTTCAGTTGACTGCAAATCTAGACCAAGTTCACCATTCCCAAAGAATCCTCCAATAGGAACTTTAGGGAACACTTGTTTAAAGATTCGAGATTCTACATTTCTGGAAGAGTAAAATTTCTCTCCTCGACCGACACAAGACACCATGAAGCAGGCACAACTCTCTGAACAGGAAACATCAAAGTTATGAAGTTGTTGCAAACTCTTGGTAACTCCATCAGCAGTTTCACCATGGTGCACAATAGAAACTGCCTGAACATCCTCGCCAGCTATACCAAGACCTATAACGCCAGTATTTTTGATTTCATTGTCTACAAATAGTAGAGAGTCTACCAAGCCACCAATTATAACAATGTTTGACTTTTCTCCATCTTCACAGCCATTTATCTATTAAAATGAGATATGAAACAAAAGTGAAGAAATATAAAACAAATTTATGTTTAGGTACTCTTATGGAAGGCATGTTGTTTTACACAGGGGAGAGGGCTAGGGGATTCGCCATAATTCCCCCATTGTGGTAAGAGTTTTTCATTTGCTCTTTTTCCCTTTACTCCCAAGATTTACAATACAATACAATACAATACAATAGACTTTACTTTAAGAGGGTAGCACTTCACAGTTTAGGAAGTAAACTGATGACCCTGTAGCCCTCAAAAGGGAAAAGATAAAAATGAAAAAAAAAAAAATCCCAGCATTTTTTTTGTTTTGTTTTTGTTTTTTTTCATTTATTTTGCTAACGCACTCATGCAGTCCAAGATCTTTCATGAATTCCCTCAAAATAAACCATAGCTTCCCCTCCATTTTTTTTCTTCTCAAGCAAACCCTTACCTGCCATATCCCTGACGCAACTTTTCCTATAATATCTAGATTGTATATATCTCCTTTTGCAAACAGAATGGCAAACTTAAGTTGCTTATCAGCAGGAATGTTCAAGGATGTTTCCCAACGTGATTTAAAAGACCTGTTGTTGCGGACATCAGTGCAGCTCATGTTGAAGGTACACGTACTAACGCCATCCACTTTTGGCATGATTAAGAGTGACACCCCTTCTGCCATTTCAATCTCTTCAGGCTGCTCTCCCTCTTCACATCCTATTATTCCACTTCCAACACAACCAATGACTGTACAACTTGCTGGAAGTCTCGACTTCACTGACGTTATAAGACCGCGAACTTCATCTCGTCTAGGTTCACAATAATCTTGAGATCTGCTTACAAATATTATTGCTGCTGCGGGAAAAATTCGGAGATTTTCCAAAAAGTCATTGATACAAGAAACCATCAAATCCATTGATAACTGAAATGAAAGAACGAGAAATGAGAGAATGAAAGAATAAAATGAAAGCGAAACAAATAAATTACATAAACAAACAAACAAACACACACACATATATACAACTTCGAGAATTTTATAACTAAACTATAACTAACTTTGTTTACAGTTTCTTTTACAATCTAATAGATGTAAATGAATGAATTATACGCGAAAGCTATATCCCCCTACGAATGTGATAATGACTAAGTTTAATGAGTTTGAATTTAAATTATAGCAGACATCACCAGACCAAAATCCTCTTACCAAACAGCATTTAATTTCTATTTATCAGAATTTTTGTGTCACTTGATCTTAAGATACGACAAATTTCAATAAAAATGATGTTCTTAAATAGAATTTATAAGCTGATGTTTTCAAGGTCTCACTCCGGCTTGAATTTTCTCAGTTTTAGAAACCGAAATAGCTAGAAGATTCAGCGTAATAAACACGGTTTACCCACCTTGGAACTACAGGGAGTACCAATATTAGTGCCATGATGAACCACAAAACTCGCCCATTTTGATTTTCGGAAGCGAAAAACCCTCTTGGTCATGTCTCTCCATAGACGACAAACTTGAGAGGTATTCGCGAGGTCTCTGGCAGGAAGGAACGATAAAACAAGCTCTACAATTTCTCCGAGGGCTAATATAGACTGTGGAGTCGGTCTGCCTAGTAAATTCGAAGTCATTTTAGGGTTTGAAGTGAAAGAAAATGGCTCAACTTGCTTAACCAATCCTTCCCTTTTAACCTGTGTTTACAGGAAGGCCGCTATAAATAAGAGAAAAGACTGGGTCAGAGTAAAACACAACCCTCCCCTCCCCTCCATAGATACTTAGAAAAGTGCTAGACGTAACTTGAGGACTAACTTTAGGTATTTAAAACTACCAATYAGAGAGTGTGAAACAGGTATAGTGTATCTCTTCCCTAGTCCTTAGAAAAGAAATGAGGATTTTACCCCACCTTTATAGGAAAAGAGGTAGCAATATTATCCCCAAGATCAGTCTTTGCTATTGATCATTTCAAACGCAAATTATTTTTACATAGAAAGTTTGTGGCCAGTCTACAATTATCCCAGTTTAGATAGTTTTAATACAAAGGACAGGCAGCACCCTTGAAAGTGTTGTGGGCTTGAAAAGCATCTGCAAATAAATATTAGTGGGCTCCCTGTGGATTTTACAAGTACCTCATCACCTCTGGGACTCCAGTGGCGGATCTAGGGGTGGGTTTTGGGGGATGCAACCCCCCCCCACCCCATGAGAGCCATCGTGATTTATTATCTTTTTTTTCTTTTCATGACAACTCCAACAGCATCGAGAGTTTTATTAAAACAGGGGTGCCTATATACCGTGTGTGGGACCTGAATCAACCATGCTCGCCTGCAGCAAATAATCAATATTATAAGACCTACTTCCGTTTGGGAACCCTATGCTACTTTCCCGCCAAACAAGTACCTCAACCAATGCTACAACCCCCCTTTGAAAAAATCCTGGATCCGTCCCTGGACTCTGTAGTACAGAAGCTGGCCCCTCCTTTGACCCCTCCACTTTTGTTAGGCTTCCTTTGCTTACAGAAAGGAGGACAGGAAGCCAACAAAGGTGAAGCAGTCAAAGGAGGGTCCAGCATATGGACTAGGAACTCTCTTGCTATGACACTGCTTTACATTTTCTGAAGGTAAAATTTTCTACATCTTATTCATTTTTCTTTATTCAATCATTCTTTTTATTAATTATAATCATAATGAACTAGATACCTTTTTGCTAGTTTTGTTAACATTAGTTTAGATACAAATAATATTATATTACAATTATTTATTTGAGGGTGGGGTGGGGGCAACCAATAATGTAGTAAGATCTTAAATTTTTGTTTTTTTTTCCATTTTTTACATACACTTGCAAATTTCCTGAAGTATTGGAGTGGGAGGGAGGACTCATATTTCATAAGTCAGGGTTTGGGGTGTGCAAAACCCTAATGGCTTAAAAATGGGCCTATGTTGTGGGATCGACTTGAAGTTCTTTGGTATTTTCTACCCCACCTTCCATACTACAATAAAAAATGGTCCATCAAGATACTATTTATGTGCTATCTTGAATCCAGTATACTGAATGCAACAATCTGTTGATTACAAAGAAAATGAAACAAAATATTAATATACTTTCACATCACAAAATATCAATAATCATAACTTTCTCACAGTTACTTTCATATTGAGTTTTCATTTATTTTCAAATGCAATTTCTTTCCGTCGGTATGCCTTTATTCTTTATTATTCATCAAATGATGGTGATGATGATGGTGATGATGATGGTGATGATGATGGTGATGATGATGGTGATGATGAT